TGTCCCTCAGACGTCCCTCTGATGTCCCTCTGGACTGACGTCCCTCAGACGTCCTTCAGACGTCCTTCAGACGTCCCTCTGATGTCCCTCTGATGTCCCTCTGATGTCCCTCTGGACTGACGTCTCTGGACTGACGTCCCTCAGACGTCCCTCTGATGTCCCTCTGATGTCCCTCTGGACTGACGTCTCTGGACTGACGTCCCTCAGACGTCCCTCTGATGTCCCTCTGGTCTGACGTCCCTCAGACGTCCCTCTGGACTGACGTCCCTCTGGACTGACGTCCCTCTGGACTGACGTCCCTCTGGACTGACGTCCCTGTGGTTCTGTTGGAGCTCCTTCAGATCTTATGGTGGTTGTGATGATTGAAGCTCTTGTTGGTCCAGCAGCAGGTTGGACAGAACTTTGAACCGGGTTTGGACTTTGGTACCAGCGGCTCCACACGGAGCTGGGAGCGAGCGTGGACACTCAGCTGTGACGGTTTTATTAAGATGATGAATGGCTCTCAGAGCAGAGATCTGGACCTGCCTCCAAGAAGAAAACCATGATGGATGATGTCTTCAGCTGGCTGTCAGAGGACTTGGAGACAAAGATCAGGGTCTGAAGGTCTCTGCTGGTCATTACAGAGCTGTCAATCAGAGCAGGAGGACCTGATGGTTCAGAGTTTTACTGGTTGTTTGTGAGAAGCTGCAGAGCTGAGCTGCTCCTCCTGAACTCAGACTCCGAAACCTGTTTTCATCCTAACTTCAGACAAACTGTGGGCCTCCTCCTCTTCCTCAGTGACAACTGAGAAGTCCAGCCCCCTCACATACATCCTGAGGGTTACCATGGCGACAGAGTCGGATGCTGCAGAGACTCAGCTCCTTCCTCCTCCTCTTCCTCAGTTTTATCTTCTGGCTTCAGCTCAGGTTCTGTTAAGAGTCCAGAACAGAACCCTGGAGCAGTTCTTTGGTTCTGACAGGATGTGCAGCAGCTTGATCCTGTTGGACTCTTTAGGGTCCCAGAAGAACCAGAACAGAACAGAGACTGGATCAGGTGGGTCAGGTGAGTGGACCTCTTGGACCACACAGGGTTCCACCTGAGAGCTCCACAGAGAACCCCTCTGGGTTCATCAGAACTTTTGTAATCAGAGTAAAAATCAGAACCGGACCGAATGATTCTGATGATGTCATCTTCTGACAGCTGGGTCAGAGGTCGTTACGTCACACCTCAGGAACACGTGATCTGGATCAGAAACACGGGTCAGAACCCCTCTGAAGACCTGAACTCCTCCCACCGAGTGTCATCAGCTGAGTCTGACCAGACCAAGACCAGTCAGAGACCAGACCAAGACCAGGACCAGAGCTGCAGCCAATCAGAGACCAGACCAAGACCAAGACCAGGACCAGAGCTGCAGCCAATCAGAGACCAGACCAAGACCAAGACCAGGACCAGAGCTGCAACCAATCAGAGACCAGACCAAGACCAGGACCAGAGCTGCAACCAATCAGAGACCAGACCAAGACCAAGACCAGGACCAGAGCTGCAACCAATCAGAGACCAGACCAAGACCAGGACCAGGACCAGAGCTGCAACCAATCAGAGACCAGACCAAGACCAGAGCTGCAACCAATCAGAGACCAGACCAAGACCAGAGCTGCAACCAATCAGAGACCAGACCAAGACCAGAGCTGCAACCAATCAGAGACCAGACC